TATAATTATATTATTTCTATGTAGTTTATATTATGAAATCAGTAAAATATCATATTGTGATTTAATTTTCCATGTATTTGTTACATTTTTTCAGGCATTTATCAATGGTGAATAAATCTGTTTCTTTTTTGTTACTAAACAAAATAGAATTTTTAAACAAAATTTTATTTTTGGCAATATAATTGTCAAAAATAAAAATTTTTAAGTTGGTATTTATGACATTGAGGCTTATTTGTAACTATTCAATTTTATTTACAAATTCAAATTGTTTTTGAACTTTGACACTTTGACACTTTTTCAAAAGTGATAGAAAGGTACCAAATTGTGTTAATATAATTTAATAATTATAAGAATTTCAAACTTTAGATAGGTTGTTTTAAATTTATATTGTTTATATTAGATATATATGTGTGTTTCATAAAAGTCGGAAATTTTATAATTGTAGGTAAAAATTTGTTTGTGTTATTGAAATGAAGAAATGGGAGATGTATGACGCTTTTAATTGGATGAGATTGAAAAAGGTGGGATGGTTGGTTTGAGAATGAGACTTTAATTAGTTTTTGAAGAAAAAAAAAAGATGGTCAGTTGGTTTTCCAAGTGTGCAAGGCGAACAGTCATTGTTCTCTGGTGGTTCCCGAGAGGTAGCAAGCAGTAGTGTTGAATGTTAGTGAGTTTTTGTGGAGTTAGTGTATCTGACAGAAGCTGATCCAGCAAAATATTGTAAGTCATATTTTTCTACTTATATTCCAAGATTCACTGTTCAGGCCAACGAGAGATTCAGTTTATCGTAAAGAGAAGATATTCCAAGAGTCATTTTTCACTCAGGCCAACGAGAGATTCAACTCCGCCTGGGATACCGTGGGAAATCACAGTGTCACAGCCGGTCCTAAGCCCGGATAAAGGAGGAAGGTTGGGCAATGGGCTAGTCACCCATTACTGTAGAACAAACCCCGACTACGAAACCTATACAAAAGCCTCGGACGGTCTTATCGACGACGACTCAAGCAAAGAAATATGGACTACTCATTTGGAACATGGAACGTCTTAACCCTAAATAAACCAGGAGCCCAAACATCGCTGCTTAACGAACTTAAAAAATATAAGATACAATTAGCCGCAATACAAGAAACAAAATGGCTAGGCAATGGAATAAAAGACACAAAAACGCACACAATACTCTATAGCGGCAAAGAAAATGGAAAGAAAGAATTTGGAGTGGCTTTCGTAGTAGATAAGAACATCAAAAACAATATCTTAGATTTCGAAGCAATAAATGAGAGATTATGTAGATTGAGGCTAAAAACAAAATTTTTTAACCTCACAATCATTAATGCCCATAGTCCAACAGAAGAACACGACATAACAATAAAAGAGGAGTTCTACGATCAATTAGAAGAAATATACGACAATGCCCCAAAAAATGACATCAAGATAATATTGGGTGACATGAACGCCCAAATAGGCAAAGAGGAACAGTTCGCAGGAATAATCGGCAAACACTCACTCCATCAAAACACCAACGAGAACGGGGAATTCCTAATTAATTTTGCCAGCAGGAAAAACATGATCGTGAGCTCTACGTTCTTTGCTCATCGGGATGTACACAAAGCAACGTGGATCATGCCAGGTGGAGCGGTTACTAACCAAATTGACCATGTCTTAATAGACAAAAGAGCTGCCACCAACATCCTAGATGTAAAAAGTCAAAGAGGAGCATGCTGTGGATCTGATCACTTGCTGGTACAAGCAAAATATAGATGCAGGATCTCAAGAAACAGAGATAAGAAAGAACAGATAAAAGAGCAGTTGGACATTGATAAACTAAGCCAACAAAACGTTAAACTGAGCTACGAGACAGAAATAACCCAGACACTTACAAACACAGATAACCTAGACATTGAAGAACATTGGAAACAAATGAAGACAAAAGTATTAAATGCAGCAACAAAGACCATCGGTAAAAAGGTAAAGAAGATAAGGGCAGAATGGTTCAACGAAGAGTGTAGACAGGCCATACACGAACGAAATGAAGCTCACAAGAAATATATGGAAAGGCGAACCAGAGAAAGAAGAACATTTTTCGAGGAGCTACGACGCAGGGCGGATAAAATATGTCTAGGAGAAAAAAGAAAATGGGAAAATAATAAGATACAGAAAATGGAACAAAACCTCCAAAGCAACGATCTAAGGGAGGCATATAAATATCTTCGACAACTAAGAGAAGGATACAAACCCCGAACAAGTCTGTGCAGAAACCAAACAGATAAGATAATTAGTAAACCAACGCAAATAAAATCAGTTTGGAAAAGCCATTTCCAAGCTCTGCTAGGAGCACAAGGAAGCTCACGATCTTCGGATTTGCGGCACATCGAGGAAGGAGACGAAGAAATAAGCAGCCCAACTCTTAAAGAAGTCAAACAAGCAATACAGGCGCAAAGAAACAACAAAGCGCCGGGATTTGACGATGTCCCTTCCGAACTGTATAAATTAGGTGGCGAACATCTAACAACGCAGGTGCACGCGCTCATATCTAAGGTATGGAGGGAAGAAAAAATTCCTAGCGATTGGAAAAATGGGATTATCTGCCCAATCTACAAAAAAGGGGACAAACTTAAATGCGAAAATTACCGCGGCATAACCCTCCTATGTTCGGCCTACAAAATTTTTACATCCATCCTGAATAGGCGACTTCAACCATTATGTGAAAATATTATCGGCGAATACCAGACCGGTTTTCGACAAGGCATGTCGACAATAGATCAGCTTTTTACAGTAAAGCAAATCCTTAATAATGCTTGGGAACACGATATTGATGTTCACAATATATTTGTCGACTTCAAACAGGCTTATGACTCCATAAATAGAAGCCGGTTATATAACATCATGGAAAGCTTCAATATTCCCTCGAAATATATCCGACTGGTAAAAGCAACGATGGACTCCACAATAGCAACTGTACGCATACAGTACGAATTAACTGACAGCTTCGAAATAGTTCAAGGGCTGAAACAAGGTGATGGACTAGCTCCAACACTGTTCAATCTGGCCCTTGAATATGTCATCAGAAAGCTGAATGTCGGAAGAGCCAATCTCCTAACAAACAAATCTGTCCAGCTCGCTGCATATGCGGATGACATTAACCTCATGTCCCGCAGAGTGGATGATGCAGTAGAAACATATTCGCAGCTGAAAAAAACGGCCAAGGAGATTGGACTTGAAATAAATACACAGAAGACAAAAATACTAACACAGACGCGGACAAAGCGAACAAGAAATCAAATCAAAGTATAGGATGACATTGAAACAGTGAAGAGTTTTACTTATCTGGGAGTCGAAATGAATACGGAGGGAACAGAAGAGGCCGAAATTCAGAAGAGAATAATGAAGGGAAATAAAGCCTATTTTTCTCTGATTAACATATTCCGCTCCAAGACGGTACATCGAAAATCGAAACTTAAGGTCTATAAAACTATCATCAGACCGATAGTATGCTATGGATGCGAGACATGGGTTTTGACAGAAAGCACTAAACGAAGATTAGAGGTTTTCGAGAGAAAAATGCTAAGGAAGATCTTTGGACCCATCACTCAAAATGGGATGTGGAGATATAGATATAACCATGAACTCTACCAATTGTTCAAAGAAGCACCTATTGCAGAGTTCGCTAGAGTACAAAGGCTTCGATGGGCTGGTCATGTGGTACGGATGGATGCCGACAGATTGCCGAGAAAGGCCTTGGATGGTAAAATGCAGGGCAGAAGACCAAAGGGAACACCACGTAATAGATGGGAGAACGAAGTCACAGCAGATGCTCACAACTTATTGAACGTCAGGGCTTGGAGACGAGTGGCGCGGGATCGCCTTTGTTGGAGGCAGAAGTTACAGGAGGCCAAGGCTCAATTTGGGCTGTAGCGCCATTGGAAGAAGAAGAAGAAGAAGCCAACGAGAGATTCAGTTTATCGAGAGGAGAAGACGCTAGCATAATTTGAATGATTCATGCATTTGAAGGAGATCATTAAGGACGATAAACTTGCAACAATTTATTGTAAGATTGCTGATTACCTAGGGAGCTGCTAAGAATAGATAGTATAGGCTACAAGGAACAAAGATTTGGACCACTCGTCATCAGAGAGAGAGATAGTTTTGTTTTTCTGCAGTTTTCTTTTATTGATAACACAATTTTTACAATTACTTTAGAAAAGATATAAATATTTTGATTAGGAGTTTTAGAATAATAATTGGGATTTTGAGATTTTAATTTATATTATTTGTACCATTAATTTTGAAGTTTCACGTACATAGAACAAAATTTTGAGAATCATTATATGAGATATTGTTTATTGAAAACATTTGAGTGTGAATTTTATTTCATTTTTTTTTATTTCAATATATAGTGTTATATCATATATGTTTTTTTTATTATTCCGGTATTCTTTGGACCTTACTTTTTCACATGTAAAGCATATATATTGAAGCACGAATATAACCTGAGATAAGAGAATTAAAAAGTGTGATATAATCATAATTCATATCATTTAAATAATTTTAATTAATTAATTAATTAATTAGCTAATTAATTGCTTGGCGCACTAAGATTTTGAATATCACAATATTAAATATATATATATATATATATATATATATATATATATATATATATATATATATATATATATATATATATATATGTGTGTGTGTGTGTGTGATTTTTTTGATTTACTTCGTGTGGAATAATTAAAACCATTATTTTGAGGACGCTTTGTCTAGGTCGCACTTACCATTGCCACAGTTAATTTTTAGTTCAAACATTCGCAAAAAGCGTGACTACCTCACTTGATAATGGCAAGTGCGACCTTGCCGAAATATCGTCAAAACAATGGTTTTTCTCGAAACCATAATTATTCTACCCGGATAGATGCAAAAAGCACATATAGCTCTATCGAAAATATCAAGTGTAATATCGTTGACTAAATATGCGAGTAATTTATATTACATTTTAGTTCCATTATGATTGGGGTTTGAGGGCCTTAAATGCGGTCTTACGCATGGCAGGAGTTTTGAAACGGGCTTCTCCAGATATTAAAGAGGCACTAGTACTAATGAGAGCTTTACGAGATATGAATCACCCAAAGTTTGTATTTGAAGATGTTCCTTTATTTTTGGGACTCATCAAGGATCTTTTTCCTGGAATGGATTGTCCTCGAGTTGGGTATCCGGACTTTAATGCAGCTGTAGAATACGTATGTATATTTTTATTATTCAATAATAGCATAGTAAATAATGTAAAAACTATAAACATTTATGGTTTTAAAATAACCTAAATCTCATATATTAAATATTTACTTACATTACTTTTAATATGGTGGATATTTGGTCCATCTGCTATTGGTTCAGGCATTAATAGACGGCTGTGAAAATGTACTAAATATGCTCGAAATATGTTTGTATGTGCCATTTTCTGCTTATAAATATAAACAATTATTGAAAACATATAGTTAGATAGAAATTTTGGGCTTAGTCGAACTAAAAGTTTTTAATATTGTTCTGAAGCTATTTTGTGGTGGCAATGGGAATACACCACAATTAAAGGTTAAAGTACGTATATTGACATTGCAATTTCCACTTCGAGAAATCGTTCTCAAAATACAAACATTAGTAAATTATTGATAAGGTTGAATGCTCAAATAAATGGAACTTTGATCAAATAAAATGCAAATATCGAGCACAATTTAATTAATTTAATCTTGCCCAAGTATTTTCGCTTCCTAGAGCATCTTCAGAGGCATTTCGTCAATTGTGGCCTATCCGACAAGAATAAAATGTTAAAAACATAAAATGGTAAATTAATTACTATTTAACTGAGAATAAGCCACAATTAAAGATAAAAATACGGTTATTGAATTTCAATTTCCACTTCGGAAATCGTTCTCAAAATAAAAAAAAAATTAAAAATATTTTTTTTTATTTTGAGAACGATTTCCGAAGTGGAAATTGAAACGTCAATAAACGTATTTTTATCTTTAACTGTGGCTTATTCCCAGTTAAATAGTAATTAATTTAAAATGCCACAAGAAAATAGCTTCAGAACAATAAAATGGTAACTCACACTACACTACACAAGAACAAACAAACACTTTAAAATTTTTAAAAAATAGGCGAAGCTACATTGTGTACAGAAGCCAGAGACAGAATGATCATAACAACCTTATACCAATGGGCTGGAAGTTACGTCCAGCATATTCAATTAGAAGTTTGGAAAACAATCTACATAGAGCCAGTTTGTCCATGATCCGCGAAAGGTTACAATATCATAGCTGTAAGAATTGAAGATTTGCTTTTCAATGTGATATCAAATTCTGATTTTGATTATTATTTTTAGTTTACATATAGTATATGAAAATTCATGTAAAAAATAAAGAGATATATATTTAAATAAATTTAATATTCTTTTAGAACAAAACAGTATACACACTTTAGATAACCTCAATAGAAATGATAACATATTAGCGACAATTGTCAATCTATCAAATAGACATTTAAATGAAACGGAAAATTTAATACTGTCAAGGGGTCTAAACTTTGCTATTACTCAGCCATCCATTCCAAAATTAGACATAATAAGCACAGTGGAGAAAATAGCTCAATGTTTATACCAACCCAAGGATACAGAGTATTATGTAAACTTGAATTGGAAAAGTCTATTGAAATTGAACAAAACATAAGCAAAGAGGAACTGAAGGCTATAAGAACTTAAAAAATGACGACTCCATAATTGAAGGGCTCGGGGCAATAAGGGACCTAAGCCACATTTTTTGAAATTTGACGATTTCATTAAAACGGGCTCTTTAAAATGGTCTTAAGCCACCAGCGAAGTTTTACGACTATTGGGCAATAGATGTCACCACCAGGCTATATCAACCTTGTTGCCGACTTGACAAATCATGAAAATTTTTTAAGCAAGAACGTCATAAGCCACAATAAAATCAACATGACGACACGTGATCGAAGAGTACTGAAAGAAAAACAATTAATTTATATGGAAAAAAACAGTAGTTCTGGTTCGGATTTTGACTTAGACGATTCTGTAAACGATAGAGAATATTCTTCGCATTCAAGTTCCAGTGAAAGTGATGAATCTTCTCCGAAAAAGGTAAGTAAACATTTTAGTGGCTTGAGACCTTCTTGCTGTAGGATATATGGCTTGTGTCTTAATAAGTTATAATAACATTAAATTTACTTTTTTAGTAAAACGTAGCCATAAATAAACCGTTTTTACTTTTGTTATCGATAAAGACCCAGTAAAACTTATATTCTATTTAAATTTGTTTGTAAATAACACGTTCTAAGACCAAAAATGTAGTTTATTGAGTAGGTGGCGTAGGCCCTTCTTGACTAAAGTACCTTTATTGTTTTAGAGAAGTCGATAACACCACACTGCAACTGCAGTTACTAATCAAAGTCAAGTAGAAGGCAACAGAGGTTCAATTATTTTGACCCCAGAAAAACTTCCACCCAGCCCATGGAAAAAAGTTAAAATTGAAGAAAGAAAGAAAGAAAAAGCAAAAAAAAACGTCGAAACTTGGGTCACGACTATATAAATTTAAAAGGTGCAGTAAAAGAAGCAAAGAAGATTGGAGATCCGTGTAAATGTAAAAAAAGTGCAGAGAACTGCTGCAGGGTGCAGAATTATCGATATTTAACGGCTTTTGGGATTTAGAGACATACGAAAAGCAGAACACATATTTATTTTCCACAATAAAGGTTATAAAGAAAAAGAGAAGTTACAAGAGAAAAACAAAAAGACAGGAGTCAAAACGAAAATTTACCAATTTGTATTTTGTAAAAGTAAACGGAATATATGTGCAGATATGCAAACAGGAGTTTTTATCGGTTTATGGACTACAAAACTCATGTAAGCGAATTAAACTAATTTCAAAACAAATTTGTTAAGGAAGATCAATACCAAGCAAAGATCAAAGAGGTAAACATCACAATAGACCGAACAAAGTTGCACCAGAAATGATACAATCAGTTCACGACTACATTAGAAGTATCCCTAAATATGTTAGCCATTATGGTAGAATCGCTAATCCTAACAGAGTGTATATAAATCATGATGTTAGTATTTCAAGCCTGTATAAGGATTACTACATTGCTTGGTGTAAAGAGTGTAGTATTATTCCAGTTAAAGAGGATCGGTACCGAAGAATTTTTAACTTAGAATACAACATAGGCTTTAAGATGCCCAAAAGCGATATGTGTTCAACCTGTGATTCACTAAATGTTATGATAGGTTCTAATACCAATAATAATGAATCTGAGGCCAAAAATCTCTAGGTAAAACTACGGTTACACCAAAGTCGCGCACAGGCAATGCAGCAAGACCTTAAGGACGAAATTAAGAAAAATGAAGAAACTCACAACACTGACATAATTTCATTCGACTTACAACAAACCTTACCCACACCTTCATTGACTGTTGGCGTAGCATTTTACCTTAGGAAAGCATGGACCTATAATGTTGGCGTACATGATTGTGTATCTGGACAAGGACGTGATTATGTGGACAGAGTCAGTTGCAAAAAGTGGAAGTTCCGAAATTGCTAGTGTACTCCTAAAGTATATAACCCATAAGCCATCAAGATCTGAAAATCTTGTAGTCTTTACTGACAATTGCGGGGGCCAAAACAAGAATTGGCTAATAATGGCATTATGGCTGCAATTAGTTAGGGAAAAAATTTACAAAACCATAGAACATCGTTTTCTAGTTTCTGGGCACACCCATTTGCCTTCAGATAGAGATTTTGCTTTAATAGAAAAACAAAAAAAATATATTAAGCAAGTGTTTTTTCCAGAAAAATGGTTTAAAATTGTGAGAAAATCAAACAGAAAAAATCCATTTGCAGTAGTTGAAATGTCACAAGAAGATTTTTATAGTTTTGATAAAATAGTTCTGACAAAAAATACATTTACCACCGAGAAACAACCACTCAACTTTACAGACGTGCGCTGCTTTCTGTTCGATAGCGGACACCCAAATTCCATTTTCATTAAACACGCCCTAAATGGAGCGTTTGATGAAGTAAATGTTGGTAAGAGAGGTGTAAAGTTTGGTGACAACATATTAACAACTAAATCCTTAAAAAAATATGGAGGACCAATAGTACTTAACATCAAAAAAATTCAGGACATAACGAAACTTTTGCCATATATTTCTCCCATAAACCAGCAATTTTATCTCAGTATTATTGAAAACAGTACCAGTAATATTGAACAAGACTACAACCAAGTTGATGAAACAGGGGATATAGATAGGAATGACGAAATCGATGTGTTTTAATAAAAAAATAATATTGTAGGAATATTCTGGCTTTTAGAATTTATATTTGTTTTGTTATTTTCAAAAAGGTCATAAGCCACATTTTTTTGTTTAATAAAATTTTTTCTTAAAAAATGCAGTTTTCTTTTGTATCCTTTTTTAAAAAATATATTTAACAATTTATTATGTATGTAAGGAATTAAGGTAAACATTATAAACTATAAAAATGTGATTTCAGGATTTTGTCAAAAACTTTAAATGTGATTTACTCAAAACTTTTCAAATGAGGCTTGGGTCCCTTATTGCCAGGACCTCTTCAATTATCCTACCAGCAGACAAGGGGAATGCAACTGTGATAATGGATAAAATTCAATATGCAAACAAAATTAAAGATCTAATAATAAACGGACCTTATACAAAATTAACAAAGGATCCAACAAAGCCTTTGGAAAACAGAATAAATAGAATTTTATTCAAGTTTAAAGATTGTTCAACAAGTTATCAGAGAGGATTAATGACACCTCATTACAGTAAGACCCCCCATTTTTATGGAGTACCGAAAATTCATAAAACGAATATACCACTTAGACCCATTTGTAGTAGCATGAATTCTCCTTGTAGTGAACTATTAAAATTTTCATTAAATATTTTAAAACTATTTGCAAATAAAAATGATACATTTATAAAAAATATACATTTTTTAAATACATTATCAAATATTGAATTTAATTCAAATAATACTTTGGTAAGTTTTGACATAAATAGATAATTTACGAATGTGGCATTAGATAAGACATGAGAGTGATGATACATTGGCAACTAGAACAAAACTAAAAATATCAGCTATAATGGAGTTATTAACATTATTTACTGATAATACATATTTTCAACTAAATAATGAATTCTATAAACAAAATTTTG